CCTTCCTCCAGAGGAGTGGCTGGTGGGTTTGAACCGCCAACCTTCTGGTTAGTAGTCAAGTGCTTTAGCCACTATGCTACCAGAGCTCCTGGAATTAGTTTCTGGGGAAGTAAATCATGCTTCATAAATTAGAGGGTATGCAAAAAAGAGAAAGACCATCAATGAAGTAGATTATCTTAATGGGCTCAAACATAGCATTGATTTTGAAGACAGCACAGGATTGGGTACTGTTTCAATCTGTTGTACATAGAGTCACTACAGGTCTCAACCAAACGGATGGTTCCTAACATAACGACAGTATGTATACATTCTCTGACAAAAAGAATGTGTATTAAAATGATGTGACAAATGAAATGCATCCTTTAAATAAGACATTGCTTACATTGTTTTCCCTCTCTTTTTTTCTTTTCATGAGACTTGAGTATAGACATAGGAATATACAAATCTGTCTTTGGAGAAGTGTAGTCAGAATGCTCCTTATTTAGAAACAAGGATGGTGAGACTTTCTATCATATACTTTCCACATGTTATCAGAAGGAAGTAGTCCATGGGGAAGACTTGTATATTCATATGAACTCTTCTCAAAGAATCAGAAGATGACAATAATTTGGGAATAGCAGAGCGACAACATGGACACTGTTACTGTTAGGATTGACCCATAGACTAGTGTCTTCCATAACCCTAGATGTCTAAACTTTGCACATTTCTACTCAGGGATGACAGTCTTCTCTTCATGGAACAACTCTGATTTTGAATCCCTTTGTTACATCAGGATAGCCTGTTTTCTGACTAATGCAGGCTCACTCTCAGAATTATCACATCAACTAATAAGTGGTATTTTTCCTTACATAATTATTTATTTTGTAAATGGGAAATTTTAGGATATTTGAGAAAATTCATCTGGTATTGTCAAAATCACGCTATGTTTTATCAGCTGATTTAGACACTCTATACCAACAACATACAATTCTCAATGACCCTTCTATTTTTGCTATATTTCTAGATGTACTAAAGTAACAGATTTCATTTCCCCCCCTAATCTTATAAGTGTAGTTAAATGTGATTCTGCAGGAAAAATGTCATATCATAGAGTTTTGGTTAAAGATGAGGGCTCTAGACTATAACTGTTGGAGTTAAAATGTGAGCTTGTCCATTAACTTGTTCAGTACTTCTGAACAAGTTATTTAATTTGTCTGTGCCCAGGTTTCATCGTTTGTAACACTCATCTATCCGTAGACATTTATTGAGGCACTACATCCTGGGTATACACCATTGATAAAACAGGCAAACATCTTTCTTTCCTTGAATTTACATGAAGTAAGTGCAGTGTAGTAAATTACTTAGTATGGCTTTTCTACCCATAAGTCTTTGTAAACTCCAAGGTGGGATTTGCTATGAGCAACTGAGGAGCTCCTTATTGCTGAAGGTGTCCACCTGGAGTATTTCTGTTGGGAGTGGCACAAAACAATGTTCTGGGAGGTG